AATTGTTGTTAGCCAAATCATCAATTAGACTACACTCTGAAAAATGAGTCCCTACCTTTTAGAAGCAAACCTCCATAACATTTGAAAGTCTGCAGCTCATTTTCTAGAAAATTAGAAATACATTAAAATAATGGCTGCCATTTATTCTTATTACTCATCTGTTATCAGGCTTTTAAATGTAAAATATCCTCTTAACATGTTCTGACGTTTATCTCTAGAGGCCTAATATATTAATGCCTGCTTGCCATTTCTGGTTAATTTAAGTTTCATGGAATCAATAATTTGCAATGTTCACAGATGGGTATTTTTAATTGCCCAGCAGAAAGTTTATTTTGATACAAAGATGGTTCAGCCTAAACCGTTGTCTAATTAATTGTCTTCAGTAGTACTCTTGGCAGATCACTCTTCAGTCTGCTCAGAGAGGGATGTGAAAGAATGAAATTTTCATTGCCTGAGTCAACGAATAATTTTGGTTTTGATAAAATTGACCTCTCTTGAAAGACCAGCCAATTATAGATACTTTATAATGGGAAATTAAACAAAAAGCTGAGAAATAGATGGAGTTATGCTCATTGTAGGAGTTTGTCCTCCAGGATATCTTACAACAGAAATCGTTTTCTAAACTGCAATTTTCTAAGCACTCTTACATGTTGCAACCATTTCTCTATCCTTTCTCTTTCTGTCCTACAGTTTATATGTGAAGGACAGGCAGAACCTAGGGTGGAATCAAGAGAGCAATCAGCCTGGAATCCTTACGGTCCCACAAACTGTTTAAGTCCAGCCCCTCTTCAATTCCGTTGACTCTTATTTAGCACCAATTTAGCGCTGACCATTAATTGACTGGATTCTTGTGGTGATGATTGTTCATGCCTGACAATACATGAGTTGGGCTGTTGTGAACGGCTGCTACATTATGCTACTTAACTTTTATCTTGTTGCTCTCTAGATGTGTAGATGTCTTTACCAGGAATTCTCAGTGTTAGGTATAACATTAAGGGTGCGGTTAGAAGTTACAATATAAGGAAGCATTAGAAGCTGGAAAGCTTACTTGCTGACTGTCTGGCTGTAACTGTTACTGTGTGCTGCTGCGACTAACTGTGATTACTGACTGTGAGTGCCTGTGACTGAACTGTTTTTGTTTGCTACTGTTTGCTGAATATCCAGCGTTTGTTTCTCTGGAGAGTGAAACCGGAGGAGGAGAAGATATCTTTATCGGCTGATAAAGATATTGCAAGGACTCTTAACTTGGACTATACTAGTGAGTCTTACTGGATGGAAATACTGTGAATGACTTAATGGACTGAATGACAATGCTTAAACTCTAACTGGATTAAAAACTATTTAAACTACAAACAGTGTTTGTGTTCAGTGTGTGTATACTCTGGGGCCCTTCCGCTCTCCTTTGGCTTCCTGGCTTGACTACTGCTGCAATACTCTGCTAGGGGTTAATTCCTCAAACCCTAACACTCAGCAAGCCCCCACCCCCATTTGAGGACCTGGGAGAATTGAAGTCCATATTTTGAGGACTGCTAAATATTCAATGTAGGGAAGTATCATAACCATTTACAAATAGTAGGGAAATATCATAACAATTGATAAATAGGTAGCTCACCACCTATAATGAACATTTTTAAGGCTCCAATCAATCACCGTTCATTTCATGAGATAACTGTAGGAAATGGATACCTAGTTTAATGGAGCCTTCTGTCTTCGGTAGCAAGATTAGCCACTGATCAGTTTCACCTCTAATTTCTTGGTTGACTTTTGTACTGTTTGACACAAAGGATAAAATAGTTCCTCCTTCCATTCTCCTAGGCAGAAGCTGACCAGAGGCGAAGTAAATTTCATGTGTTCCATCTCCCATCATGCTTGAGAGCCCAAGCTCACATCAGCCAATTCACCCAACATCTTAATCAGATCTGATCCTCCTGATACACTTTGAAAGAACTGGTTTTGGGACCATGTTAATAAAATAGATAAAGATGAAAGGGACAGGAATAAGTTGGGTGGACAATTGTGTTTTTCAATTAATAGAAACATAGAAAAATAGGGCTGGAGAAACCTTCGAGTTCTTCTAGTCCATCCTCTACCCAAGAGAGAACCACTTATACCATCCTGGACAAATGGTTGTCCAACCTTTTCTTGAAAACCTCCAGAATGGAGCACCCATAAATCCAGGAGGCAATGTATTCCACTGATTAAGTGTTCTCGCTTCAGCAAATTTTGTACAAATTTGCGTGCAGTAGAAGGGCATTGAATTAAAGCAGTCGACAATTAAAGCATTTCAAACTTTTCAATATCTTTGAGGAATAACCTCTTTCACTCCTTGCCTTAAGTATGGGGCTCCATGATGAGCAAGAGGAAGGATGAGAACTATCACAAGTTCATTGTGCAAATGATGCAATTAGGTAACATGTGATGTCTTCATAACACATGTGCTGCCATCCTGGTGATATCACAATCTTTTGGCCGACTCTTATGGACCTAAAAATCGTCACAGACTTCCTTAATCATTAAAGCAACAATAAAGGCACATACTCCAGAAGCATTGATGTCTATTGATCCTTTTCTTCTAAAGAAGTAGATCTAGATTATTCTCAGTCATGTCTTTAAAACTGCGGCCTTCTTAACTTTATTAATAGGTTTTCTGAGGTTAGCGTTGGAGACCTAACAGAGGTCTAATTTACTGTGCTATTTCCAGATGTACCAGTGCCAATATTAACTGGGTGATAAATTAGGTTTTTATGCCTTTGTCAAATGTTATTATTGAACAATTTCCGTATGGGTCTGTTTTAAGCCTAATCTAGTTGGCCCATGACATTAGCCATTTCAGATATGTAATTATTTCTCTCTCTGTGTGTGCGTTTTAATGATGATATAATGTCAGGGTTGCAATATGTCAGTTACTAAAGGTTTTCAAAATGAGGCTGAACTAAGATTTTGAACGACTAAGGGCAACACTTACAGACCCACTCTTTTGGTCTCCTTCAGGATCAGTTGTGCACCTAATTTTGTGCATGCAATTATATCTTTTCCAGAGTTGAGTTATTTCTGATTCTATTCTGGTGTTTTTCAAAGTATTACAAGATGGATGCAAAGATGCTCCAGCTCCATAGACATTGTGAAGGCCTGTTTTCTCATTAGTGGAAATTTTGGACTCCCCTTCCCTCCCTGGATCTGGTCTCAAGCCAGCTGTTAATGCTTCCACCAATCCCAAGAGAGACTCAACATCCTGTTTCCAGTATCCCTTGGTTAAAAAGGGGGGCACGATAGCTCAGCGGTTAAAGACACTGAGAAAGATGACAGCCCAGGTTTGAGACCCAAGCACCACATGATGGGGGGAGCTTCCATTCTTGCTCCAGCTCCTGCCCACCTAGCAATGCGAAAGTCAAATGCAAGTAGATAAATAGGTACCATTCCGGTAGGAAGGTAACAGTATTCCGCTCACTTCAGTGTATAGTTGTGCTGGCCACATGACCATGAAAAACACTGGCTCTCTTGCTGCTTGGAGAAGAACACCAACCCCTACAGTTGGCCATGACTAGCCTGGGGAAAGCTTTACCTTTTGGTTAAAGCCTGACTCCAATTTCTTTTACTCTAACTGCAAAAAACAATTATTTGGAAAGGACCCACCTGCAAAATGGTGATGTTATGATCATTTTGCTTTGTAAACTCACAGTAGGTTTTATATCCAACAAATTAATGGATACTGGCTGGAAAGTTTGGGGTGTGTGGATCTACCAGTACTTTTCTTCCTGGTCGTTTTGTGTGTGTGCGATTGTGTTTTTACAACAGTCTTTTTCCTGCATAGCTTCCTTTCCTATCAACCTCTGGGTTTTGGTTCTTAAATATTTTTACAAAGCCCAGACGAATGAATGCATGTGTAAATATAATGACCAATGAATGCAGAAGAAGAAACTTCAATTTGTTGTGTTTCCTTTTTTTCTGTTTTTCAATTTGGGTGTGTGTGTGTTGGCTAACTTCATTTGCCTGCTTTTTGAGGTGAGTAGGAGCAAAGATTATTACAGGTTGCTTTGGGGAAAGGGTGGATGGAGAGTGGAAAAAGCCATTTTGTTGGGAAACTGCCAGCTAGTCCAGGAGGGGGAGATGAAGTGTGGATTTAGCTTAGAGTCCTTGCGCAGTGGTAAAAGGTATAAACTTGATATTCCCCCGAGATTCCCAAAACCTTATCCAGCCATTTCCAGGGGAAGGCAAGCAGTCTAGGAATATACTTGCAACATAGGTGATAAACAATAAATGTTTATTACTTCAGCTATTTACAATTGCTTCTGGTTTCTTGCCCCTGACAAATTGGGGATGCATGTGTAGCAGAGGTGGTATTCAGCCAGTTCTGACCAGTTCTGGAGAACCGGTAGCGGAAATTTTGAGTAGTTTGGAGAACCAGCAAATGCCACCTCTGAATGGCCCCACCCCCACCTATTCTGTACCTCTTGAGTCCCAGCTGATTGGCTGGGTCTTCTTTGGTTGCCCTGCACAGGAGAATGGAGCTGGAAAGCAGGTTAGTGGGGTGGGGAGGGAACGGGGACTTTACAGTAACCTTCTGCTGCCACGCCCACCAAACCATGCCCACCAAGCCACACCACGCCCAACCAAGCCACGCCCACAGAACGAGTAGTAAAAAAATTTGAATACCACATTACAAAGGCCAAATATTTCTTACTCAACCCTACAATAAGGCTTTACTCAACCTTACAATTCTACATCCTTCACCTTTTGCCCTTTTTTTGAGTTATATTTTAAGACTTTTGAATAAGAAGCACATACTGAGGATTTATTGCTTAAATTTCTTCGTGTGTTAAATTTTTTCACCGTGTGAGACTTAAGTACCACCATGCAAAGCAAATACATCACATTAAAAAAACAAGTCAATAGAAGTATCTGTGAGACACAAGTAAAATCTGAACAAGTGAAATGTTTAAATTAGAGCAGCCCATTTATATTGGTGATAGAAATAAGATGGAAAGCAAAACAATACATACTTCTGTAAGTTATCTGGAGTGCACACTTCTTCGTCATATAGTCCTTTTGGATCTAACAAGGTTCCTGAGAAAAAAAAGAAATGTATACAGTAGTCTGCTATTATTTCAAAGCAAAGGGATCAAAAAAGTTTGAAATAGATTTTGTCTGTATTTTAAAATGAACTATTTGGAATTCTTCAGCTTTTCTAATCCTGTGTCCCCAGATAAATTCCACAATTGTTGGCTCAAACTTCTGGGAAATTATAGTCCAAGAGAACATCCTGTTGAGGAATAATGCTCCATTCCAGATGGATAGATGAATGGATGGATAGATATCATTTTGGCCAATAATGCTCCATTCCAGATGGATGGATGGATGAATGGATGGGTGGATGGATATAATATTGGGGCATAATACCCCATTCCGGATGGATGGATGAATATCACATCGGGCAATAACTCTCCATTCCAAATGGATGGATGGATGGATGGATGGATGGACAGAGTAATTTATTGTGGGAATTTAGTCATTGACTTAATATGTTCCGTGATGCACACTATCATGCAAAATCATCTTATGGTTTATCGAGGGGAGCACACTGTACCTTGCAATTATGATTTGTTAATCCAGGTTTCAGGCTAAACATGTTGTGCAAATCCCAGCCAAAGTGTTGACCCTATCTTTAATTTGGTATCTGTTGGGAAGGCAGGCTGCAATGTCTTTAAAGACAGAGTCCGATTTTCATGCCACTTTCTACCACAGGCTTTATAATGCCCGTGTGTCTGATATCAGATGTTTATAGTTGGCAACTTACTTACCTTGGCTAAAACCAAAGCACAAGGTAGCAAAAATGGGGGATCTAGCCACTCTAAGCAGGTTCCTCCTCCTAGCTAAAGGGACATCTGTCCCATTTCTGGGCCACAGCATTCCATCTTACCAATTGCCCATGATTTGTCCTCCCCTGGACCTTGGCGACATGGGTCCTTGTAGTGGGTGAACAAGCAGTGCTGCTGTTCCAGCTTGTCATCTGCAACCAGAAGAAAGGCAATGAAGGAGATCCATAACGTCAAATCAAATCAAATCAAACCTTTATTGTCAATGCACAACATGTGTACAATGAAATTGAAATTGACGTGTACATCTCGGAGAATCATGGGAGAGGGGTAATGGAGCCAATATTTATGACCAAATTCCAGAAAAATATGAGCCTTTAAGGTATATTGTGGGTATTCCTATGGAATCCTATGGAAATGTGGAGCCCATGAAATAGAAACAAAGAAAGATAGAAAGCTAACAGCAGAAAAAGACCTAGTGGTTCATTGAGTCTATCCTTTGAGTTTATTTGTAGGTTTTTTTGTTTTGTTAATCAATCAATCAATCAATCAATTAATTAATCAATCATTTAAAATCATTTTTATACTTTATATTTTTTAGTGTTATTTTTTAAGTTTTTGCTGGATGATGGACGTGTGTTTATCCCAAGCATGTTTGAATTAATACCACCTCCTTTAAACTTTCATAACTTTCTTTGTCCAAATCTTAAGATTTTTGCTGTTGTTTTAGTCTTTTTTAAATATTATTTTTCTCTTGAGTTTACTCTTTGTAATTGATGACAGACTAACTCGCCAAGAAGTTTTCTTTGACCAACTGTTTTTTAACTCCTCTTTTCGACTATAAAATTGATTCCATTCCAAAGAGTTTTAGAAAGTGAGGATTGATAAATTTTGTATTCACAAAATTGGAGTGGAAAAAGCCAATTTGTTGGGAAACTGCCAGCTAGTGTGGGAGGGGGAGATCAAGTGTGTATTTAGCTTAGAGTCCTTGCGCCATTGCAAAAGGTATAAGCTTGAGATTCCCAAAATCTTATCCCGTCATTCCCAGGAGAAGGCAAGCAGTCTAGGCATATATATATACTTGTAACATAGGTGATAAACAATAAAGTTAATGACTTCAGCTATTTACGATTGATTCTGTTTCCTTGTGCCTGACAAATTGGGGATCCATGGATAGCCATTACAAAGTTTGTTTGAGGATTGGTAAATTTTGTATTCAAAACTATTCTAGCTGGTAGAATGCACTCTCCTTTTTTTTCCTGTTATAGTTTTTAACTGGATTTTAATGGTTGTATTTGAATTACATGGATGGTTTAGCTTTGTGTTTTAATCTAACCAAGAAAATGGAATGGACGTGTACATGTAACTCCTCACTTAAGCTTTCAGGGAGACTGAGAACTCTCACTTCATTAGTCTTGCCATCTTTTATCTTTCCTTTTTTAATATGTTTAATAGCTGTAATGATCATTTCTTTCTTGGATTGCTATGAGAGTTGTTAAGAGTTGGGCAGTCTACAAGTTTAATCATTATTATTAGTCCCTAGGACTGTGTCTAATATATTTTGCCAAGACAGGCTTTATCATAGAAGAAAAGGAAGCAATTGCAAAGGGTCGATATTTTAATGTATTGTTTTGCAGGATATAGGAGGGGATTGATTCCCATTTAACTTTGCCGAGCGTTGTTCAGTACCAGAACACATTAAGGTCTCATCTACCATCTATCTAACCCTGTTCAAATGCAGTTATCTAACAGCACCTCTTAATAATGTTTCCTTTGTGCCACTGGAGAAAGAGGTTGCAGTGTTTCCCTGGCTTCTCTCAAGGGAAGCCCAGAAGTAGCTCTTCCAGAAGCACTAATGATGTCATTGATCATTGTCTACTGTCAAGGCAACACAATTCATAAATGGGAGGTTTTAGCAAAGGAGGGGGAAAAAGGGGAGGGGGAAGGTGTAGCCAACTTCGTCTGAAGCTAAAAATATACCCGTGCATGGAAGGTAATTTTAGACAACTGGATTGTCTAAAAGGACCTGCATTTTGGACATAGTCTTTTATTGGGTGGAGATCAAATTGCCCTGTGGGTATCGATGAGCACAAGGGACATGGTGGCTCAGTAGCTAAGAAACTGAGCTTGTCAATCAGAAAGATCAGAAAGTTCGGCAGTTCGAATCCCTTGCGCCACATTACGGAGTGAGCTCCTGTTCCTTGTCCCAGCTTCTGCCAACCTGGCAGTTTGAAAGCATGTAAAAAATGCAAGTAGAAAAATAGGGACCCCTTTGGTGGGAAGAGAACACCATTCCATGCACCTTCGGCTTTTAGTCATGCCGGCCACACGACCACGGAGACGTCTTCGGACAGCGCTGGCTCTTTGGCTTTGTAACGGAGATGAGCACCGCCCCCTAGAGCCGGAGACGACTAA